CTCCCCCTCCCACAAACAAACAAACAATCTAGGTCTTTTGCTTCCATGAAATCCATGATAAATTAGTTGATGGCAATCTGTTATAGATTATTTGAATAAGCATCTCCCATAGCAGAAGGCAGAACAAATGTAGCTAAACTTTTAAATGCCTCCTGGAATCACCCTGAAATGCAATTCCCTGTTTTCTTATTTCATTCCCTGTGTAAAACTGAAATTTTGATTGAGCACATGGGCTAACAAAGGTGATAAATTAGGCCTCTCTTACTGCAGCTTGTGAGTAAATCTGTTAGGGAACATTCTGTTATAACAGAAGAGGTTTGGTCTGTCACAGAGTTCCAAGTGTTAAGGTTTTTAGTTCCTCGCTCAGTTTCCAGCTTGATTTGAAAACAACTTACATAACAAGAAAGGGGGAATAGAAATTAATATTTGGAAGAAAAATTGGAAAATAAACGTTGGAGGGATTGCCTCCTGTAAATGTACTTGAGTACCAGGTGCTTTAGAAACTTCTGGGAAGCTTTAGTTGGCGGAGAAAACAAAACACAGGCCATCTCAGGATGGTGGGTTCCTGAGAAGAAGATTTTGATAAGGCTGTGGTTTAACAGCTTATCCTAGTGAAGTGGAGTAATTTTCTGCATTTCATCTGGTTCCCAGTGAAGCTCTAAGATCACAAGAAGATGGGTAGGGTGGGGAGCATAACAAGAAGTTGGTAAAAGTGACACCTAGTCTGTGTCTCAGTGAGACTCCCCCATCGTAGCCAGAAGGCAGGAAGGGGGAAGATTCCCCCTCCATTGATTTCTAGTGGTGAACAAGCAAGGCAGCACTTATCTGACATAGCGCTGAACCCGAGAGGCATATTTTTTACAAAATAGAAAAAAAACATTTGGAGGAAAGAGCAGCAGACACTCACTTGAAGGGGATTATCCCACTGTAAAGCCACACTGCATTCCACTAGAGAAGTCACTGTCAATGTCACAATAGGACATGTCCACAGCACACACACACCCCAGACCAAGTTAGGTAATCACACAAGCCACAAAAAGGGGGTGGGGGAAATGATGCCAGTTAAATTGGCACAATTTTTTTAAAAAACCCTGATGGCTGAATAAAAAAAAGATGAATTCCACAGGAGAAGAGCAGTCTTCCGTACTGTTAGTTTTACATTGTGTATTCTCTGGAAAATGAATCTATTTTAACCATTTCAAGTCTGGCACAAACTGTATAATATTTTACAGTGCAGTCACACCCAAAGTCTTCTTCACTGATCTAAATTTGTTCCTTATATTCCTCCAAAAAATTCGTGGTAACATTATAGCATTTTTCTATCTATTGGTTTTTTTGTTTTGTTCTGTTTTGCTAAAACCACAGGATTTTATTTTTCTTGATTTTGTTCTTCCGTCTATATGGCTTGTCGTGTCATTCTTCTTTCTTGAACCTTCTGCCTTCTATATTTTACCACCTCATTTTCTCTTGTGGTTCTTTCTCAGTTCTGTTCTTCTTGCATTGAGTGTTCTTTTAAAGCTTCTGTTAAGTATTCTTTTTGTCCTTTCCCCCTATTCCTTTGTTCATTGTTGTTCTGCAGGGTTTTGTTTTCTGCCCACATGTTTTAGACTTCAGACTTCCAGTTTGGAAACTTGAAGCTGCAATTAGATACATTTAACTAAATACATCAATGTAAAGTGTTCATAGACATCAAATTGCTATTTTGGATTAAATGTACAAGATTTTTTCCTGTCTTATTCCTCTGGAGCCTGCTTAATGCTTCATAATTTTTCTCTTCTGTGTGCTGCTCAAGTCACATATTCAGCCATTCTCTGCCATATACTGAATGTGTTGTAAAATGCATAATGAGTTCATTTAGGGCTGGGGTGGGGTTGAGTCTTATTAAAGTCCTGTCCTCGTTAGTGCTCTGTGGGAACAGAATGAGGTCCTTAGAACACACCCCAAGACCTTCTGTACTGCAGCCTTTTAGTTACAGAAATTTAAGAATCCCTCAGTTTCCTGAAAGGTGGAAAGCTGAAAACCACTCAGCTTCCTAATAATTACAGCTGTCCTCTTTGTCAGAGTTCAGATTTCCTAGACTGGGAGGGGCAATATTGGTGGGTGTGGGAGTGAATCTTGTGTCCCCAAAAACTTCTGGGAAAGCAAGGAAGACAGATTAAATTTTCATTCCACCACAAAACTCCAATGAAACAATTCCCTACTTTTGGGTTAAGACCAGATGGGACGTGAGATAAACTTTTCCTCTTTATCCTCTGTTTTCCACAAGGGTTTTCCCTGCAACTCTTCAAAACATTCTCTTTATCTGCAATGGGAGCCACACCATGAAGGGCTCTTCAATAGCCCATTCTTGATATAGCCAGGTAGCAAGAATCAGAGAATAATGGAAACCTATGCCAGACATCCAGGAGAGTGAAGTCAAGTGGGCCTTAGAAAGCACTGCTAACAACAAGGCCAGTGGAGGTGATGGCATTCCAGCTGAACTATTTAAAATCTTAAAAGATGATGCTGTTATGGTGCTACACTCAATATGCCAGCAAGTTTGGAAAACCCAGCAGTGCCAGAGGATTGGAAAAGATCAGTCTACATGCCAATCCCAAAGAAAGGCAGTGCCAAAGAATGCTCCAACTTTTGTTGGAGTACAATTGCACTCATTTCACATCCTAGCAAGGTTATGTTCAAAATCCTACAAGGTAGGCTTCAGGTATGTATGTGGACCAAGAACTCCCAGAAGTACAAGCTGGATTTCCAAGGGGCAGAGGAACTAGAGACCAAATTGCGAACATGCACTGGATTATGGAGAAAGCTAGAGAGTTCCAGAAAAACATCTACTTCTGCTTCATTGACTATGCAAAAGCTTTTGACTGTGTGGACCACAGCAAATTATGGCAAGTTCTTAAAGAAATGGGAGTGCCTGACCACCTTATCTATCTCCTGAGAAATCTATATGTGGGACATGAAGCAACAGTTAGAACTCGATATGGAATAACTGCTTGGTTCAAAATTGGGAAAGGAATACAACAAGGCTGTATATTGTCTCCCTCCTTATTTAATTTTTATGCGGAATACATCATGCGAAAGGCTGGTCTGGATGAATCCCAAGCCGGAATTAAGATTGCTCGAAGAAATATCAACAACCTCCGATATGCAGATGATACCACTCTGATGGCCGAAAATGAGGAGGAATTAAAGAATCTCATAATGAGGATTAAAGAGGAGAGTGCCAAAAATGGTCTGAAGCTCAACATCAAAAAAACTAAGATAATGGCCACTGGTCCCATCACCTCCTGGCAAATAGAAGGGGAAGATATGGAGGTGGTGACAGATTTTCCTTTTTTGGGCTCCATGATCACTGCAGATGGAGACAGCAGCCATGAAATTAAAAGATGCCTGCCTCTTGGGAGGAAAGTGATGAGAAACCTAGATAGCATCTTAAAAAGCAGAGACATCACCTTGCCGACAAAGGTCTGCAAGATTAAAGCTATGGTTTTTCCAGTAGCGATGTATGGAAGTGAGAGCTGGACTGTAAAGAAGGCTGACCGCCGAAGAATTGATGCTTTTGAATTGTGCTGGAGGAGGCTCTTGAGAGTCCCCTGGACTGCAAGGAGATCTGAAAGAAATCAACCCTGGGTGCTGCCTGGAGGGACAGATAGTGAAGCTGAGGCTCCAATACTTTGGCCATCTCATGAGAAGAGAAGACTCCCTGATGTTGGGAAAGTGTGAAGGCAGGAGGAGAAGGGGACGACAGAGGATGAGATGGTTGGACAGTGTCATCGAAGCTACCAACTTGAATTTGACCCAACTCGAGGAGGAAGTGGAAGACAGGAGGGACTGGCGTGCTGTGGTCCATGGGGTCATGAAGAGTCGGAGATGACTAAATGACTAAACAACAACAAAATGCTCCTATCATTCAACACTCTTCCATTCCCAACAGTAAATAAAACCTCCCATTCCTGGCAAAGAGGACAAAAAGAGAGTGAAAAAACAGTGAGAGGTGAAGCATATGACCCAACATTTCACATTTTTGTTTATCTTAGCGCTACTGTCTGCAATGGAGCAGATGGTCTTTGGCCGTCTCTCCTCCACCCTTGAGTTCAGGGACGGAGAATATCTAACTCTATTAATATTGATAGGTTTCAGTTCCCATCAGCCATTGCTAGGATGGCTAAAGGTAAGAAATCATAGGAGTTGTAGTCCAATGTTTGGAAGACTACAGTGGTAGTTTAAGCAAGGAATGGATGGAAATAACTACTGAAGAACCCTCACCAATGTACCTTCTAATTCTCAGCCCTGTCAGGTGGGGCTTCACCTCTCTCTTTCTCAACTTCACCCCTTCATGTGCGTGTAACTCTACCCCATGCGCTGGGTTCCATTGCAACCAGAACCTAATGCATTTGCTGTGCGGAGAAGGAAGAGGGTTGCATGGAGGGAAACAGAGTTGTGTGCGCGCACACTCAGCTTAATGGGAATCTTTGCTAGACCATCACTGATGTGCTTTATCACTTAGATTACATTTCTTTTTTTTTTAATGCCTTGTCTGAAGGCAACTCTGGAAACTAGGTCAGGAAAGGTAGGTCAGGAAACTACCCACAGCTGAAGCCACTTCACATGACTGGAAATTGATAGCAGAAGAAGCTTAAGACTTGCTTCTTGGTCCATTCCTAGCTAACACATGTGCTGGGAACAGACCTGCACCAAAAAAAGTGAAACAGCTCAGAAAGGTGCAGGTAGGGGCACTCTGGAGATGGACTGATTTGCTCCAGCGATTACACGATGTAATCACTAGAGAAAAAGATCAAAGCAACCCAACCCCACAATGCTCCAAGCAGCAGGACAAAAGGCTTGTCTCATCAAGCCCTCAGTTTACAAGCCAGGAATGGGAGCATACAGTTAGCATGAACTACTGCTTGCACGTCTGTTCATATAGTAAAAATTCAGAAAGAAAGGAGAGGGAATTCCTCTGGAAAGCATTAATTTTTTCCTTTTCTAATTTCTCTTTTTAGATATTGCTCCCTGGTTACACGTATTCAGAGCAGAAAATGCAGTTGACTTCTCTCAGATAACGTTTGACCCAAGACAGAAAGAAATTATTGTTGGAGCAAGGTGAGGTATACTTTTTTAAAAGCTGTGTTTTATCCGTACGGATATTTTTGTTTTTTCTTTTCAGAAGCATAGGAGGCAATATTTAACCATTACATGGACCTTTATTGATTTTAGGCTTTGAATTGCAGGTACTTAGATACAGAATTCAGGGGTTTGTGTATCAAGTTTCCACATATAGTATGGAACAGAGGTTCTTCAAATTAATCTCTACAGTAATACCCTGAATAATGCAGCCTCCTATAGTGATGATTTGTTACACTGTGAATGCTTGACTGGCCATTTTGAAGTGCTTACAGGTGGCTGGTCTTCCAAAAGGAAATACTGTAGACTTGGGCCTCTGTGAGACTTAGGGCCCAGTTTAGTAGCTCTACACTGGAGGTAGACTGAGCCTCTAGAACTTCTGTCATAAAGAAGAATGTTGAACTACCCTGTTTATTGCTGATTTGGTTAACACTACATTTTATTGGAATGCATCATGAATGCTAAGTGGGGTTTTACTGTACTCAGAGGATGTAGAACATGGGTTCCTTAGAAAGCATTACTGGAAGAAACTATATCTTCCTCCTTCTTGCATTTTTGACATATGAAAACAATCATGAACTTTAGGTTTGGTTGTGGTTCTTGAGGTACTTTTGGATGAGGCTTCCGTTATATACCACTGGCCTGCTTCATGTGTTTTCCCATTGCTTCGTCCATCTTTTTTCATATCACAGAAAACTGGTTTAGGAGGGAGGAGCATATTTGCACAGTACTTTTTTATTTATCGCATAAGGAGATGTCTGCTCTTGGTAAAAGCACTCTTGATAAACATTTATAATAAAGCTAGATCCTTCCGTGACCGGGATGTTTAGCAGTGAAAAGTAAGCTGCACAGCCCAGGGAATCATCTGCTACAATTCTGATGGAACTTTACTTTTGAGACTGAGGTGTAGGATTGCGTGTTTGAATGATCTCTACCATTCAGTCTTTCCAGTAAACCTCCATGTATGCAGAAGGGAAAGCTAGGTTTTAACTCTTCTTACTGGTGCGCTAGTTTTCCCTTTGCTGAGAATATTTTAATGAAGAAGCATGCGGGCATGTTGCCTGTATTCTTGAGGTGTTCAGAGATGTTCCAGTTTGGAAACATTCCCACTCTGTTCAGCACAGACATGTCTTTCTCTCTCTCGCTCTCTCTCCTGGGGCAAACTCTCAAAAAGTAACAAATTTTGAACATTTAAGAACATGAAGAAACCTCTGCATACAGAGATAAGAAAACCATTATCTGAATTTTAGGGATCTCTTGTTAAGATCAGGGATTAGTAGGGATCTTAAGGAGTTGCAAGGGCCCTGTATGGAAGAGCCCATAATTCGGTCTGAACCAAGGGAAAGCTAGCACAAGAGGGTGTCAGTAATGTTTCCCGCCTCTCCATCTAATCAAATTTCCAAAGCACTTTTGAAATTGTTGTCGAAAACAATTTCTTCCCAAAGTGAAAGGTACATGTAAACAGCTGGATGTTCCTGTGTTACCCCTTTGACAGATCCAAAGGTGGAGTATAGACAATGGGGTGGATGTGTGCTATAGAATTAGAACAGTTTGCTACCGTTTTTTAACTGCCATGGCTCGCCCTGTGGAATTCTGGGGTTTGTAGTTTGGTGAGCTACTTAGATTTCTGTGCTAAAAAGCTCTGTGTGCAAACCAGGCTGAAAAGATGTCTGAAGACGTGCTGTGACCATTCGTTTATTATGTCTGCCACATCATTGGTCCTTTGCTGCAAGTCATGCCATCCTGCCATTCTCCCCTGAACTTTGACTCTTGCTAACATCAGAGCAGCTCAGTAAATGAATGCTGCAAGCAGTAAGAGGCAACATTGCTTAAATCTGCACAGCAGTATCTTAATTTGGACACAGTGGATGCAGATCTAAGTTTACTATCATCCCCCACTGCCTTTTTAAAATTATTTTTATGTTCGTTTTGGTTCCAGCTGTCTACAGATGTTGTCTTTCTGGTTTTCAGGTCAGGTTGAGTTTTAATCATGGTGCTTCAAGGAAGTGGCTTTGGCTTAGTAGATGATTGATGGTTTGTTCTTTTCGTTGGTTTCTTTTTTCAAAAGCAGCAGCAAAGAGCCACAAAAGATTTTTGCTGAAATGATGCCATTTAAACACAACATGTTATGTTACCGACAGCAGCATAAGGAGACCAAAGTTCTCTCTTACGGTTTTTAACATTCTCTTCTGATTAAATGAGTGAATAATACTAACTTCAGGAAGCATTTCGACCATGGGAGGTGATGCCTGGAATCCTCCTTAGCCCAGTTCTATCTTTGAGTGAAAGTCACTCAGCAGCCCTTCCACAAAGCATGAGATTACTGGCAAGCTTTTGCAGGACTTCTACTTAGAGCTTCTAGAATACTCCACAAATCTGCTTGCTGCTACTGCTTAATCTCTTCCCCACACCCTCACTCGTCTGTAATTCTACCTGGCTCATGTCCTTCTTCCTCCTGTTTTTTTCTTCCTTCTCTCCTCCCTCAATCTTGAGCCACCCATGTCAGCTATCTTTCTCTTCTAGTTCACCAGCGTGTCTTGCATAACCACTGCCATTTTCTTTTTACTCCAGAAATTACCTCTTCAGGCTGCATAGTGAAGATCTTTCTCTAATCCAGGTAAGAAATTATATGTATCTATTCTATAAACAAACATAGATCAAATGGACAGCTGGCATTTGCTGTACACCAGTTATTTATTATGATACTTGTCCGAAATTCATAAAAACCCAGACAGTAGAATATCTGGGATTGGGAAGTCCAGAGAAATTTATTCTAGAAGACAACACTGGAAATGGTAAGATAATCTTCTCATCTTTGATGGAGGATAAGGTGACTGTTTGGGCATCACCCCTAGAGAAACGTATTTGCACAAGCCGCTCAGAGTGGTCGCATAGACCAGATGGGTGGGATACAAATCAAATAAATGAATAAATAAATGTAGTTGAGTATCTAGAAATAATTACTATGATTTAACAGAAGTGCAATACATCTCACTGTAACAGGGGAAACTATGAGTAGGAGATCTGTCTACTTGCTCAATTGAGCACCTTCAAGGTTCTCTCCCTTCTTGCAGTTCTTTATAGTTATGTTAGATTGGACAAGGTAGCCCTTACCATAGCGGTCACTGACTATGGTCCTCTGCTAAGGGTAATACACAGCTGCTGTGTTCAAAGAGGTGAGAAGCCATACCGTATTGCATGCACACTACAACATCTGATTCTCCTAATCACAGTGGCCTAAATCCTGCTAAATAATGATATGTGTGGAAAAACACATTGCTATGGCTAAATGACAAGGTGCCAGTGCCACTCAAAGCCTCAGTCACGCAACTGATCATCCACCTGACATGTGCATTAGGATGTATTTGGTCCCGTATCAATGAGTCACTATTTAGGTGCAGCAACTTCCATGATTCCTCTTGGACATGTGTAAATATCCAGTAGGATTTTGGCCCCTGCACCAGAAGGTCTTTTATTTTTGTCTTACAAAGTTATCTTTGCTTTTAAAAAAGCAAAGAAAAATGAGATAAACGTTTCCCATCAGCAATTGAAAATGTTTGCAGTTAAAGATATTCTGGAGGAATCGAGGCTAATGTGTTTTTCCTTGGCACGAAATGTCAAAATAAATAATAAGAAATGCATAATAGTATTTTTGTGCTGCTGCAGTTCTTTAGTACAAAGACATGTGTGCTGCATGATGAGGAGGTTTAGTTTATGCTTCTTATATGCTAATATGAAACTCTACTTATTAGTGGGTGGATATGATTTGATTGTGATATCAGTTCAGCTAATATACATACTGTACTTGTCTGGGAAATGCATGCTTTTGAAGATTAGAAACTTTATTTTCAGCATCCTTTACTCACGGCGATTTGAAAATGCAGAGAATTCACTGTTTTTAAAATTGATCCTCTTTTTTGTTCAGTGTACATTTAGTTTGAAATGCTTGAAGGATATTTATTATGACTTAAATGTTTGTGCCGTCCACGTTCCATGACACTGCAATGAAACATAATGACAAATGGGTTGTTGTAATGTAAATAGGAAGGCAGCAAAGAGAAGAGAGGGGGACGGAAAAATGTGTGGATGAGAGCAAATGTGTTTAGATCTTGCCTAGATTTTGTGTTGGCTGAAAAATAAGACTAAAGAGTTCAGCTTCAAGGATTCCCTTAAGAGTGAGGTTATGATTCTATTGGGCTTAATTTGAATGTAAAAATTATACTTCTTTTGATTTTTCATCTCTGACAACTTTTGGGGCTATAATCTGATTATTGAGATCTATTGACAGGGTCGCTGCCAAAGAACCTTTGTAATACAGCAGGCTCTGTCAGGCATGGGGATCATAGGACTCCTTATGTTGTTGTACTGGGCTACAGTACTTTGTCAGTGAGCTACCATGCTGTGTCAAAGATGGGTGACTCTTGTTTCTGAACACGCACACGGCCAGAGTATAGCTTTGGTCTAGATGGGTGTGATAGAAATCCAATAAAATGAATGAATGAATGAATGAATGAATGAATGAATGAATGAATGAATGAATGAATGAATGAATGGGTAGATAGATAGATAGATAGATAGATAGATAGATAGATAGATAGATAGATAGATAGATAGATAGATAGATAGATAGATAGATAGATAGATAGATAGATAGATAGATAGATAGATAGATAGATGCATGTTAAGCACCATATAATGCACACCCTGATGGCATTCATAGTGTAATGAGACCTGGAATTGGTTTGAATTATCTTAAAAGGATGACTTACAACAGAATGAGGAATATATGACTCTTCAAATGTTGTTGGACTGCAGGTGTCATCAGTAGTAGCCAGTGGAGAGGAATGATGGGAATTGTAGTTCAACAATATCTGTAGGGATGCTTGTTTCCTATTCCTGCCCTATATAAGCTGTTAGTCTTTTCTGATAGGGATCCATATAAGAGGTGTATTGTTAGAATACACCTCCCGACCAGCACAGCCAGAGTCAGGGCATTTGGAAGGTGTAGTTCTAGAACACCTGGGACTCTTAGTATGAGAATAAGTGAGGTAGATTATTCCACCATAATAGCACAGTACAAAGCATAAGCTAGATGCGTAATCTAAATTTTAACATGCCATAACTATGAAATTTTAACATGGCAATAACTATGAAGCCATGCCTCATTCTGATTGCACAATTTGCCTAACAGAAGATCACAGCGTGTGCCACTAGTTCAACAGCATTATTCCAGAATCCTGCCAAGCATTGCTAAAGGGTACGGCTGGAAGTACATGCCAAATATGTTGAAGCGCATTTTGACACAGCTTGAAGTGTTTCCTCATAGCTGCTTCCCAATTGTATTTTGAATAATGCTCGTGGCATCTCTGAGATGTTCCATAATTGTAATGCCTTGTTGTTATCCTAACTTTGGAAAACTGAACTCAAAATGTAGATTTTGCAAAGGATGTGGAATGAGTGCTGGATTCTGTGATGAATAGCACAGAGAAAACAGGTAATGGGAAAAGTCAGACTTAATGTGCAGGATTATTTAGGAATTCACAACCAGATGGCTAATATTATGATACTTTTCCAGTGCAGCTATATTTTGAATTGTGCTTATAGTTCTGGTTATCCTGTATAGACAAGGATATTGTAAAGTGTAACCACTATGACGAACGGCTGGATTGTCTTCCTTACAAGAAAAGATGAAAGCACTCTAAACTTTTAAGTTGAAAAAAAAATACAACTAAGGATAGGTGTGATGAGGTTTTAAAATAATGACTAGTGTAGAAACCAAAGAGAATGAAACTGTTCAGATGGAAAGGTACTTCTGAGTACCAGGTGTAGGGAGACAGGCTGGTAATGGCTGTAACTTCTTTTGTTCCATAGGTGGCTAGCTCAGTGGGTTGTGGCGCTAAGAGATGGGAATTCTGTTCCCTACTGTGATTCTCAGAAATACAGCCAGCCTATGTGGGCATGGACAAACTGTAACATCATAGAGTATCACCAAGAAAAGGCGCAAATAGTAAGCTGCTTTGGAGTTCTGAGTATCTAGAAAACCCTGAAAAGAGTCATTGTTAAATCAGAACCAACTTGATAGCACTTAATTATTATTAGTGTCTTTCAGAAGTATCTGGCATGCTACTGTTGGAAAAAGTGTGAGATCTGATCCAGGAAGTGGCAGAGCTAATTTATGTACATTCTGTGCTTATTCAGTAAGTGCTAATTATGTGGTCCTGCTGGTGATTCAGTAGCTTGAACAATCCAAATGTTTGTCAGAGTAGCTCTCTAAAGCTATTCTCTTGTCATGTGGTTATGGTCAATATTTTTAACTACTGTCAGAACTATTATGAGAGCAGGGTGAGAAAGCTAGGCCCTTGCTGAGACCTCTGGCCCAGTTTATTCACTGGTGTAAATGATCAGCTAGCAGGAGCAGTAGTGGGAAGTAATGAGGGTCCTCTCAGAGCATCTTATCATAGGCATCCTCCTCCCCAATACTGGAACTAACCCTGGTGACTATTAACCTTGGTTCTGTACCATTAAATTATATTCTCAACCATGTTTTACCTAAACATCATGTTTGAAGACACGGCAGAAAATGTGAAGGCAAACAGATAACAATAGTGAGGAGGCAACTATGTGAAATTGTGCAATTATGAAATTATGTATGGAGTTTTCTGGCACTATGTAATTAAACTACCTTGGAAATACTGTGCTTTGCCAGTATCTAATTACTGAAGCCATCTGCCTAAGGCATGCTCTACCATCTGCCTGGAATTTTGTTTCATTCTGTTCTTTTTGTTTTCTGTTTTTAGTGGATAGAAATTGGTATGTATTTTCTGTTTGTATGGATTTGTATGAAGGTAGATGTTATTGGTGTATCCGTCTAGTGCTCAGCAAGACAGTAGTTCATCCAAACACACATTCTTTTTGCTTCCTTCAGAATGTTCAATGATCCTTCTTCCTCTGTCTTCCTTTCCTATTTGGTGTTCTACCCTTCCAGTGACCTTCACTCCCATAACTGTGCCACCCACAGCAACATGGAGATCTGTATTCCATTAAATTACTTCCTCTCTGGTCCCTGCTACTCCCTCTCAGAACCCTTATGTGGTGGCACTTTTCTCTTTCCACTGTTCTCCACAAGTCTCCATTTCTATGAAGACTTCAGCTTGATCTCCCATTTTCATGCCAGGCTGAAATTACATATTCATTGTATTAAAACGAATCTTTCGTTCTTTACATTCTTTCCTTGTCTCCTTTCTGTTTAAATCGAAACTGCAAGTAAGCTTCTTGGGGGCTCGTTGTCACTCCCCCCCCAATAAGTTACGGGTTTGCTGGAAAGTAGAGGTAAAAGAGAAATTAGGCTAAGTCAGATTTTGTATTTCAATTTTTGTTTCTAAACTTGGTCTTTCAGAATGATGGAACAAAAACAAAACATCAGCCTCTTTGTTGTATCTGTTGTGTGTCTAGTCAAACTCTCCATGTGGAACAGTGAGAAGCAGAAATACTGAAACGGCAGACTTTGGGGTTGTCAACTTTTTGACTAGTCTTGTTTGAGGGCCTTTTAATAATGCCTTGATCTTCATTAATTAACAGGCGGACTTTAAAAAAAAGCACAGCATGCTATTTCACCTG